CCCGTTCCCGGTGGTGGAACCCCATAACCACGTCCCATCACCCCATTCTCCATGGTGGAACCCCATAACCACATCCCATCACTCTGTTCTCCATGGTGGAATCCCATAACCACATCCCAGCCCCATGTTCTTGGTGGTGGAACCCCATAACCACGTCCCATCCTGGTGTTCTCCATGGTGGAACCCCATAATCACGTCCCAGCCCCGCATTCCTGGTGGTGGAACCCCATAACCACGTCCCATCACCCCGTTCTCCATGGTGGAACCCCATAACCACGTCCCATCACTCTGTTCTCCATGGTGGAACCCCATAACCACGTCCCCCCCTGCCCCGGGCGCAGGTGAAGGTGCTGAAGTGCATCAGCCCGGTGGAGCTGGAGGACGTGGTCCTGGGCCAGTACGTGGGCAACCCCGAGGGCCCGCGTGGTGATGGTGATGAAGATGAGGTTGGTGCTGGTGATGAGGATGATGGTGAGGTTGATGATGGTGGAGATGATGGTGATGGTGGCGGTGATGCTGGTGATGATGAGGTTGGTGATGGTGGTGATGGAGATGAAGATGAGGTTGGTGCTGGTGGTGGTGATGGTGATGAAGATGAGGTTGGTGCTGGTGATGAGGATGATGGTGAGGTTGATGATGGTGGAGATGATGGTGATGGTGGCGGTGATGCTGGTGATGATGAGGTTGGTGATGGTGGTGATGGAGATGAAGATGAGGTTGGTGCTGGTGGTGGTGATGGTGATGAAGATGAGGTTGGTGCTGGTGATGAGGATGATGGTGAGGTTGATGATGGTGGAGATGATGGTGATGGTGGCGGTGATGCTGGTGATGATGAGGTTGGTGATGGTGGTGATGGAGATGAAGATGAGGTTGGTGCTGGTGGTGGTGATGGTGATGAAGATGAGGTTGGTGCTGGTGATGAGGATGATGGTGAGGTTGATGATGGTGGAGATGATGGTGATGGTGGCGGTGATGCTGGTGATGATGAGGTTGGTGATGGTGGTGATGGAGATGAAGATGAGGTTGGTGCTGGTGATGAGGATGATGATGAAGTTGATGGTGGAGATGATGATGGTGGTGATGCTGGTGATGATGATGAAGGTGATGATGAGGAGGTGATGCTGGTGATGATGATGAAGGTGATGAAGAGAAGGTTGATGCTGGCGGTGATGATGATGATGGTGGCGGTGATGATGATGAGGTTGGTGATGGTGGTGATGTTGATGATGAGGAGGATGATGATGACGATGATGTTGGATGATGATGGTGATGATGATGAGGAGAAGGATGATGATGATGGTGGTGATGATGATGGTGATGTTGGACGATGGTGATGATGATGGTGATGATGAGGATGTTGATGATGATGATGATGGTGACGTTGGAAGATGACATTGAGAAGAAATGATGATGATGGTGATGATGGTGGTGTTAACGATGATGATGACGATGGTGGTGATGGTGATGTTGGCTGGTGACGATGCTGATGACGATGATGGTGATGCTGATGATGATGGTGATGACGTTGATGATATTGAATGGTGACTTTGATGATGATGGTGATGTTGACTGATGACGATGATGATGACGATGATGATGATGATGGTGCTAACGATGATGCTGATGATGATGATGGTGTTAATGATGACGATGATGATGATGATGGTGTTAATGATGGTGTTGATGATGATGGTGATGATACTGCTGATGATGATGATGGTGACATTGGATGATGGCGTTGATGGTGTTGATGACGATGATGATGACGATGATGCTGACGATGATGCTGCTGCTGCTGATGATGATGATGACGATGATGACGATGATGATGGTGCTAATGATGACGATGATGCTGCTGATGATGACGATGATGATGATGACGATGCTGATGATGCTGATGATGATGATGATGGTGCTAACGATGATGATGATGCTGATGATGGTGTTGATGATGATGATGATGGCGATGATGATGATGATGATGACGATGATGATGGTGTTGATGGTGTCAATGATGATGATGGTGTTAATGATGGCGTTGATGGTGATGATGTTGATGGTGCTAACGATGATGACGATGATGACGGTGATGGTGATGATGGTGTTAACGATGGTGATGATGATGATGATGATGGTGATGATGGTGTTAATGATGGCGTTGATGATGGTGATGATGATGCTGATGATGATGCTGACGATGATGCTGATGATGATGACGATGATGATG